CACCACACCACCTGCTGGCCCCCCATTTTTTTTTTTTTTTAATTGTCAGAGGGCATGTGTGCTTGCAGAAAGAGACAGGGCTGTTGGGAGAGGTAGAAAGCACTTTCCTCTGGGGTGTGATCGTGCCACAATCCCTTATCCTCTGTATCTCCAGCCTGCTGGGATTTGGGGCACATGCACGTATGCCTGGTATAATTTTCAAGCCACTGGGGCCAGAATTTGAGCTGTGTGGTCAGCCACGTGAGATCCAGCTTCTCTAACCATTATGCCATAGGAACAGCCCCTAATTGAGCTTTTAATATTCACCTCTCCCGGAACCCAATCAGGGCACCAACTCCAATTTGCCAAATTTAATAGTCAATTATCTATCCTCATTGGACTTATTTTCTCAGAAGTATTTAACACAATTCATTATACCCTTTTTAAAATGCTATCCTTTCTCTTTTTTCCTCCCCCCTTCCTTCCTTCCTTCCTTCCTTCCTGTCAGAGAGCACGTGCACTTGCCAGAGAGGGAGAGACAGACAGCACTCTTCTTTAGTGGAGCATAGTCATGGCAAAATCCTTTTTCATGCATTTCTCCTTCCCGTTAGGATTTTGGGCGCACATGTGCATGAGCCTGGCAATTTTGCAAGCTGCCCTAGGGCCAGGATTCAAACCATGGTCAGCCATGTGGAATCCAGATGCCTAAACCACCACGCTATGGGGATAACCCAAAACATTTCATTTCTACACTTAGACTTTAAAATCTTCATCCTTGGGGCCAGCAGGTGGCACGGTGGTTAAGCTACTGAACTCCACATGGCTGACCACAGTTTGAGTCCTGAACCCAGTGGCTTAAAACTCATGCCAGGCACGTGTCCCTGTGTGCCCAAGAGCCCAAGAGAAGACTGGAGAAGAGATTGTGGTATGGCCACATCCCCTAGGGGTGATCTCTTGCTTTCTGTCTCTCTGCCTCTCTCTGTCCTTCTAGTAAGCACACACATCCTATAGCAAAAATCTCTCAAAAAAAAAAAGAAAGAAAAAGAAAAAACTTCAACCTCAATATTTACTCCTCTTCTGCCTGACGTTATAAACAGGGGAAACTTCCATCCAGTTTCAGACTCTTTTCTTTCTTTCTGTCCCTTGAACATGCCAAACATTTCTCATCTGTTTTCACACTTGCTCTTTCTCTGAGACCCTCTTCTCCCAGATATTTGCATGATTAGTTCCATAGTATATTTGTCAAATGCCACTTCCTCAGACAGGTCTTCTATAACCCCCAAAATTAAAAGTCTGAATTAATCCCTTATCCCCATTCTCCAATATTTCCTTACCTGTTCTACTTGCAGTACTCATCACTATGTAAACTTAGTTTGTTGACCTACTATTCTGTTTACTTACTTCCTGTCCTATCCTGCTAGAAAGTCAACTCCTTAAAGGCAAATACTGTTTTTTGTCTTGTTTAGTTTTGAATCTCCAGCACCTTGTACATGTTAAATGTTCAGTAGGCTCAACTTTTTCCCCCCACAAAAGCATCAGCCAAAAAACTGGCCAAATGTTAGATTCTTATGTAATTTTAACAAATGAAGACTGATTCGGGCCAGCTCGTGGCTTGGCGGTTATGTGAGTTGGATCTCATATGGCCTACTACGTGGTTCGAGTCCCAGATCCAGTGGATTGAAAAGCATACTTGGCATGTGTGCTCAAAATCCCCAAAGGAGAGTGAATAGAGGATTGTGACCATTCTCCAAAAGGGTGTGCTTTCTCGTGCTCTCTCCTCAGAGTTCACACGCCATCTGCAAATTAAAAAATGACAGAAAAAGAAAGAATAGATTACGATTCAGTAAATTTGGGTGAGGTCCAATAATTTTCACTTTAAGGAATACCTCAGAAGACTCTGGGACAGGGTTCCAGACCACACTTTTGGGTAACTCTGATTTATTAATTCTTTCATTATGTAGGTATGCAGGACAATGTCCAGGAGGTATGAAGATTAGCAGAATTGAGTCACTTGTCCAAAGTTCACAGTCAGCAAGTGAATTCTAAGAGTACAGAAACAAGAAATCCTAATGGTGTTATTTAAAAATAATTTAAAAAAATTCATGATGCTAGAGCATGTGCACCAGAGACAAGAGAGGGTAAGAGGCAGAGGGGAAGAGAGGGAGAGGGAGAAGGGAGAGAGAGAGAGAGAGAAAATGAACACCCTTCACAGGTTCTGGTCATGCTGTAATCCCCTTCCTCTGTCCTCCAGCCCATCAGATCCTGAGTGCTTTGCACATGTTCCTGGTGTGTGTTTCAGGCTGACAGGGGTGGGGATTCAAACTGGAGTTGCCATGTGGAATCCAGCTTCTCTTTTTTCTTGGAGAGGTTTTTGCTATAGGGTGTGTGCACTCGCCAGAACAGAGAGACAGAAAGCAAAAAATCATCCCTCAGGGGGGATGGCCCTGCCACAATCCCTTCTTCTCCATTCTCCTCTTGAGATCTTGGGTATGCATGCACACGCCTGGCGTGAGTTTAAGTCACCAGGTCCGGGACTCAAACTGCAGTTGACTACATGGAAATCCAGCAACATAGCCATTATGCCAAGTACTAGTCCCCAGCTTTTCTTTTTTTTTTAAAAAAAAAACTTGTTTAATATTATTTTAAATTTTGCTATAAGACATGTGCACTCACCAGAAAAACACACACACACACAGAGAGAGAGAAAGAAAGCTGCCATGTCCAGCGTCTTAACCACCACACCACCTTCTGGTCCTGAAGTACACGTTTTCTTGAATACATTACCATTGTGCCACAGAGCAGGTCCAAGAAATTCTAATTTTAAAAAATAGCTTATCTTGGGGCCGGGAGGTGGTGTGGTGGTTAAGGATGCTGAACTCCCACATGGCCAACCACAGTTCGAGTCCCAGACCTGGCAGTTGGCTTTCTCACTCTCCCTCCCTCTCTCCCTCACTCTGTCCCTCTTTGGTCAAATTAAATAAATGGATAAAGTTAAATAATTCTTTTAAAAAATAGCTTATCTTAGAAATTCTAATTTTAAAAAACAGCTTATCTTGGGCCTGGCAGGTGGTATGGTGGTTAAGGGTGCTGGACTCCTACATGGCCATCCATAGTTCGAGTCCCAGACCTGGCAGTTGGCTTTCTCACTCTCCCTCCCTCTCTCCCTCACTCTGTCCCTCTTTGGTCAAATTAAATACATAAATGGATTAAGTTAAATAGTTCTTCAAAAAAAAAAAATAGCCTATCTTTAAACACACAGATTACCCCATCTAGCTTATGTTGGCCATAATTTTTTTTCCTCAGAGGCAGAGAGAACCCCTAAGGAGATACTGCACAGAATACACTCCAGCTTCAGCCAGCTCCGGATTACGGGCATGCTCCCACCCAGTGTACTTAGGGAAGTCTCTAGAGGCAACCTGGACCTTTCCCAGGTGGGTCAGCCTCTCCTCACATTTTATCACTACACTGCCATCTGGCCCTGCTGGTTGTCAATTTTTTTTTTTTTTTTTGCGGGGGGTATGTGTTGTTTGTTTATAAATCTGACCTTCATCTGTCACTGAACAAAGCCTAGACTTTCTTAACTGTTTGAGAGACTAGAATGAATTGAGTTCAAAACAATAAATATTTGTTTAAAGGGCTCACTATGGACCAGCAGATGGCGTAATGGTTATGTCACTGGACTCTCACGTAGTTGACCGTGGTTCAAGACTCAGACCTGGTGGCTAAAAACTCAAATCAGGTGTGTGTGTGCATGCCCAAGATCCTGAGAGGAGAATGGAGGAGAAAGGACTGCAGCATGGCTCTCTCCCCTGAGAGGTGATTTCTCACTTTGTGTCTTTCCAGTGAGCATAGGTACCCTATAGCAAACGGCTCCCTTAAAGGAAAGAAAAATTATATCCTTGAAAAGATTAAATAAAATGAAATCTTAGCTTTAAAAGTACTCTAAGACAGGCTGTTCCAGGGGCCAGTAGGTGGCATGATAGTTAAGGCTCTGGACTTTTACATGTCTGAACGTGATTCAAGTACCAGATCTGGTGTCTTGCTTTCTCTTTCTCTCTCCGGTGAGCATCATCTCCAAACTTGTCAGAAGGCCGACTCCAGACCTATGAATCACATCCTGCATTTAACGAGACCTCCAGGTGATCTGCATGCACAATAAACTTTAAGAAACACTGGCCTGCGACGGGCAGGTGGTGTGGTGGTTAAGCGTGCTGGACTCCAACAGGGCCAACTGTGGTTCGAGTCCTGGCCCTGGCGGCTTGCTTTCTCACTTTCTCTCTGTCCCTCTCTGGTCAAATTAAAATAAATAAATAAAATAAAGTTAAATAAAAATAATTCTTTAAAAAAAGAAACACTGGTCTGAAGGCACAGTCTGCAAACCATGGCTCAGGCCCAAACCCACTGGCCACATGTTTCTGTAAATAAAAGTTTCCTGGCATAAAGCCACCCTCGTTTTGTGGTGTATGTGGCTGCTTTTGTGCTGCAAGGGCAGAGCTGAGTAGCTGCAGCCAAAACCTTACATCCTGCAAGGACTGAAAAAGTCTGTCACAAGAAGCAGCCTCTGCCTCTTTCTTAGGCAAGTGATTGGTCTCAATTACCTCACGACTACTGTCAAGATTACTGGTGGTTTACTTAATGAAATCAATAATTTTAGAAAGTGTTAATTATTATTTAAGAAGATAATGTAGCAGAATGGCTTTAGAGTTTGATGGAAAGGAGTATGAACTCTTTCTCTGTCATTGTCATAAACTCTGTGATTTTCAATGATTCACCTAACTTGGGGCAAAGTGATTTTCTGTAACTAAATTGGGACTAGGGCCTACGTGCCATGATGGCTGTGAGGACGGGGCATGGCATAGGCAGAGCATCCAGTAAATGATAGCTGTATACATATGTGTGTATTAGCTGGGTCCAACTGTAGCAGTAACAAATCATGCAAAGCTGCCTGGTTAGGTCACAGGGTTTCCATCACATGCCAGTGTTATTTTCTGTGACTCCAGTCTATAATTCACACGCAAAACTTAAGGACAGCAAAAACGTTTATTTGAAAAAATTACTATGTATTGAAAATATACATTAGAAATTATTACATACTTCCATAGCATTCCCCTCCCCACCACAAAAGTAGAAATATCCGCCTGCTATGCTAATGCCATAGGTAAATCCAAACAAAAAGTAAATCATTATCAGTCCCCTTTCCTTATACACTGAGATGGGGGGAGAGACAGGTCAACCTGTATCTGCCAATCAATAGGAATTTAACAAGTCCCAGTCTTCTACAGCAAGACACACATATTTTTGCTTTGAAGACTGTGAGGAGTTACTCTGTTCCTTCTCCGACTCCTCAAAAGCTCTCTTCTTGCTTTTCTTTGACTCCTGGCTTGAGACAGCTTCACGTTTCAACAATGGTCCATGGCAGTCTGAGGCTTTCTCTTTATAGAACTGGAGTTTCTCAGAAGAGTTCATGTGGGTGTCTGCCAGGGGACACTTCACTGGGGCTTCTGTTCGAGCCCGCTTCCCATCTATAAGAGTGACAGAAGGCAAGGAAGATCAGTTGACTACGCTGGCATGCTAATGCCTGCAGGTGTCTAGACAGATGATCCAAGGGAAAGATAAAGGTGGGTTTTCTGAACTCTGTGACAAATGGAGGGAGGTCTGCTCTGACTCCGTTTTGTTCTGAGTGCCCTGTGGAGCACCAGTGGCACATGCACTAGCACAGGTTGAAGGCGTGGACTCATCCCAGAGAATGAGATTTGGATTTAAATCCCAGATCTGCCATTTCCTGGGTAAGTGACCCTGGTCAAGTGTCTTGTCTGAGATTCAGTTTTCTCACTTTCATAGGATATAAATCCTATTTCATAAGAGTGCTATAAACATAAATAAAATAATGTATGTGAAATGCTTAGCAGAATGTTTAGTACACACTGAAAGCTCGAAAATGTTAGCTGTGACTATGCAAAATCTGAACTTGACTCTGTCTTCCAGGAGTCAGATTTGTGGCACAACTCTAGCAAACAACTCCAACCTTGTTTCTATTTTTGGTATGCCCTGGATTATTCTTTTGCTATCTTAATGTTTCCATCACTTAATTATTTAAACATGGAACTCCTTTAAAAAAATTAAAAAGTATGGTAAAATATACCTAACACAAATTTTAACCATTTTTCTTTTTCTTCTTTTGGTCATAGGACACATGTACCCATCAGAGACAGAGACAGAGAGGGAAAGTGAGAAATTACCCTCCAGGGGCGGTGATCACACCACAGTCCCTTCTCTGCAATCCTCCTCTTGGGATTTTGAGCATGCATGCACTAGAGCCAAGTTTTTCAAACACCAAGGTCTGGAACTCAAACCACACGTGGGATCTAGTGGTTTAACCACCACACCACCTGCTGGCCCCACCATTTTAATCATGTTTAAGTGTATAGTTCAGTGAGTGGTGTATACATTCACATGGTTGCCCAATCATCACAACCACCCATCCCCAAAACTCTTCCTATCCTACAAAACTGAAAGTATGTAACTATTAAATAGTCATTCCCTATTCCTTCACACCCCCACCCCCATCCCTGACAACCATCATTCAACTTTCTCTATGAATCTGACCACTCTGGGAACCTCATAAAAGAGTAATCATACATCTGTCCTTTTGTGACTAGCTTATTCCATTTAGCAAAGTCCTCAAGGTTCTCGGTGTTGTGACATGTGTCAAGATTCCCTCTCCCTTGGCAGAGAGATAAGAGAGGGAAAGTGAGAAAGGACCACACTCCGTGGGTGATGGTCACACCACAATGCCTTCTTCTCCATTTCTCCTTTAGAGATTTTGGGCAGACACCCACACGTGCCCAGCATGTTTTTCAAGCAACTAGGTGTGGGACTCGGACCATGTGGTTGGCCACGTGAGGGCCAGCTGCCTTAACCATCTCACCATCAGTTGGCCCAATTTCCTTATTTTTCAAGACTAGTAATATTTTAGTGAATGTAAACACTACATTTTGCTTATTCATGTATCTACTGATGAACACTTGTGCTGCTTCTGTCTTTTGGCTACACTTAAATCCTTTTTCATCTTGTGCCATCACAAATCTTTTCTGCAATAAGATGTATATAAATAAATAACATAAAAATCTGTGTGTCTAGTGCTAGTGCAGAAAACTAAGTGTAAACTTGCACTGTAAGCTGTAGTACAGGACACAAGCCTTGGTGACTCCAAGTCAATACAACCATAATTAATTTTCACACTGACAGAAGACAGGCTAACTGCTGTAAGGGTACAAACAACCTGAGAGCAAAGAACTCCAAGGGGAAGGGGATTTCTCACAGAAGCGCTGAGTGGCCGTTCGGGGTTCCGAGGTTTCCCGGGGCTTCACAGCTTCCGCAGTCACACGCTCCCACTGCAGAACGATCTGAAACGAATTTAGAAAGATGTGAATCGGAACTAAACCACGAGCTTTTAATTTTACGTCTTTCTTGTCTGCTCCCGCCCCCACGCTCACTTTTTGTAAAAAGTAAATTTTACTTCAGATGATTGGTGTTATGAGTAAGATCAAGTCAGGTCAGGATTTTCTGTTCTAGGCAGGAGTTAAATCAAATACAAATGTGTTGGGTATACGTATCTATGGGGTTCAGGAAAATCTACAAAGCTGGTTTCCAATTTTGTTTTATTTTAAGCTACAAATAAACTGCGTATCTTCATACTAAATATCAAAATTTAAAATCTTAGTCATAGTATCTTTTACACACTCCTAGACTCACTTTCACACCTTAAAATATATTGACTATGAGGGCCAATAGGTGGTACTAGTTAAGGCACTAGATTCCCACATGGCCGACTGCTATTCAAGTTCCAGAGCCAGCAGCTTGGAAATCATGCTGGGCACATGCGCATGTATGCCCAAAATCCCAGGAGGAGAATGGAGAAGGAAGGACAGCGTCATGGCCATTTCCCCTGGGGAGTGATTTCTTACCCCCCGCCCCCATGAGCACATATGCCCTACGGCCTGTGTTGCTATATTCTCACAACACTTCATGATCAGTTTTCATTTTTTTATATACAATTGTTTTTTATTATAAGCTACTATAAATTATTTTAGAAATTTGGCTAAGTATAAACTACATATGAATAAAGTAAATGATCATTTCAATGTACCGTGTGTAACAAGAATTTTAAATTTAATTTTTCTCTTTATAGTATGTAATAAAATGATCATAAAGTCAAGAAAAACATTTTCAGGACATAAGCAGTACAACACAATTTAAGACTACACCTCCAGGGTTAGCTCTGCCACTTACTACGAGCAAGGGGACCCTTAGCAAGTGACTTATTTTCTGTGTCTCAATTTCTTTATCTGTGAAAAAGGGACTAACAAGAGTACATACTCCTTAGGGCTGTTGTAAGAATTAAAGGAGGAAACATGTATGGGCAGAGTCGCAGTGTCTGGCACACAACGAGCACTTAATTAATACTAGCTGCCATCCCTTCTGTGGTGCTTTCTGCTTATGGAAAATGGGGACCGGTCTAAGAGGATGTCAAGATGGAGTCACCAAACCTGCTGACTCAGCAGACAATCGAGAAAATCATGCTTCCGCTAAAATAAATAAGAGTGTCAGTCAGAAGGGCTAGCGGGGGATGAGGAAGGGCAGAATGAGCTTGGCTCAGGACAAGCTGAATTTGAGGTGCTGAGCAGAGACTTACAGACAGTATCTGGGAACATGTCTAGTGTCTGAAAGAAGTAAGGCAGAGTCGCCCTAATGGGGACAGTTAAAGCCCTGAGAACAGTTCAGATCATGGGGTGAGAAGTGTAAGGGAGGAGGATGGGAAGGAGGAGGAGATCAGTCAGAGCTCGAAGTAGTGAGAAAGTTGGGAGAGAACCAGGAGAAGGGTGAAGAAAAAAAATCCCAAGCCATGCATGTTTATATCGAGGGCTGCAGCAAAGCCAGGGAAAGTGAAGAACGAGATCACTCGCTACTTTTAAGAGAACACTTTGAGGGAGCAGTGGAGGCCAGAACTAGACTGCAAGGGGTTAAGAAGTGAGTAGGGGCCCAGTTCCACTCACTGCAGTGCTGGAGGCCACATGGCTGACCATGGGTTCAATCCCTGTGTACCCATGATCCTGGTGCTGAAGGGCTGTGGGAAGGTACTGTGGCATGACAGGACCCTGCTGGGAGTGTTTCTCTTTTTCTAGTGCTATTCTGAGTAAAAAGAAACTTAAAACACACACACACACACACACACACACACACAACTGAGTAGGCAGTGAGGAGGTAGGAGAGAGAGGAACAGGAAACAGTGCATGGTTGCACTGTGGGACGAGGAGCATGCTGAAATAAGAAAAGTACGTTTGTACACAGAAAGAAATGGAAACACTGAAGCTGTGGTGGCAGGGCAGAGGGAGAAATAATTATTAGCAAGCATCCCAGAGGAAGTTATAGATCTTAGGGAACAGGACTAGGAAAAGAAAAGAAAAAGAGAGCCTGTCACTGGAATAAAGTGGCATACCTGTTCCCCTTAGACAGAAGACATGGAGACAGAAGATGTTGAAGACAGGGAGATACTCTGAGACAGAGACAGGGAAGTAAGTGAACCCCTATTAGCTGGCCTCATTCTTCTAGGTAAAGCACTGCTGCCAAGCCCTAGGGCCCAGCTGAGGCTGGATGGTGGGAAGCTGCACTGGCCCAATTAGTTGTCTTTCGGGCCAGGCTGCTAGGCTTTTTACTGGATCTTCACCAAGCCCTGCAAGAGAGGTACTGGTTTCTCCATTTCACAGAAGAATTAACATAACCTTGAAGTTGTTTAAGGTCATGCAGCTACTTGGTTGTTGATTCCCAATCCCCAATCCATAACTTGTGGTCTTTCCATCATGTCACCTGCTCCCAAACTGCATCAAGCCTTTGAATGACCCTCTCACACTTATCTCAAAACCACTGAATGATGCTAGGACCAATCCAGTGCTCCAAATGTGGTCTGGCAATGCAGTGGTCATGTACCGGACCAAGTTCCACACAGTCCTGAAACGATGCTCACCAGCCTCCCTCTTGCTTCCCTATAGAGAGATGAGGCTACAGGTCCACCACCATGCATTATGGCTTGGAGCCAAGGAGGAATCCAGGACAAGAGTCAGCTGGGTCCTCCAGGCCTCCACCAGCAAACACTGGTTAACAGAGCCTGAAGAAGAGAGGTACCAGCCACACCCAAGCTACCATCTACCTGCACTGTCCTACTTGGTGACTTTCTGACTTCCTGTTGAAGTCTTTACTTCACCAAGTTGAGAAAGACCATCAGTAAGACAACCATGGGGCCAGCAGATGGGATAGCAATGATCTTGCTGGACTCCCACATGGCTGACCGCAGTTTCAGTCCTGGACCCAGTGTCTTGAAACTCACGCTGGGAACATGTGCTTGCACATGTGCTTGCCCAGGATCATGGGAGGAGAATGGAGAAGGGACTGCAGCATGGCGATAGCAATTATCTTGCTGGACCCCACATGGCTGACCGCAGTTTCAGTCCTGGACCCAGTGTCCTGAAACTCACGCTGGGAACATGTGCTTGCACATGTGCTTGCCCAGGATCATGGGAGGAGAATGGAGAAGGGACTGCAGCATGGCCATGGCCACTCTCCCTGCTGGGTGATTTCTGACTCTGTCTCCCTCTGGTGAATACACACACCCTACGGTAAAACCTCTTAAAAAAAAAAAAAAAGACAAAGTAAAGTTCTCAGACTGGCAAGACTCAATGAGAGAAGGACAAAAAAGACATTTTCTCACCAAGGTCCTGGAGGTAAGAAATTTGTCCAAAAGAAAGAGAAGAATCAGATCTGAATCTGCACTGTGGTGTGACTGGGCCCCACGGGGATGCCTGCTGTCCTTCTCTAACTCAGGGTGATACCAGAGTTAACTCTCTTCAGTATACACATGCTGCTCAGAGAACATGCGAACAGCAAGCCAGTTCACTCATTTTCTGAATCACTCATAAGATGTTTGTTTCCCCTGGATCCTGTAGGGATGTGGCACAATCTAGTGACCACAGCAAGACATATGAAGTCTGGCATCCAATGCTAACTCCTTAGATGGGTCAGTTACACCCACCAGTGTCTGCAATTTAACGTGAAGATGACATTTCAGCCAAGGAATACTGAGAGGATTAATGTTTGTTCAATGTGTTGGATAAGACACCTGGAATAGAATGAAAAGCGGTATTAACTGTAGGGGGAATAATCTGAAATACCTGGTCAGCCCAGCCCTCCGTCTTGCAATTACTATGATCGAATTCCTTCAAAGGCACTTTGGAGTGAACCAGGCCTATGTGGGTCTGGAGCTTGTGCTTGATGGCTTTGATGTCCTAGGCAGGGAGACAAAGACCAGAAATATAAATACTTGCTTTCAGTAGCAAACAAAGACCATCATAAACACCACCCTTTCTAAACACCAATTAGTGGAAGCAAACTATTACATCACGAGTCTGGAAATATGAGAAAAGAACCAAAAGTCTTACCTTGAGCCCCGTCCCAGAGATATCTAAGCAGTTTAGTTTTCTAAAAGAAAAGAGGTATCCAATCCCTGCATCTGTGATCTTGGGGTTACCTAGGCATCAAAAACAAGTTATAACTGTTGCCAAAATGCCAACTATAAATTCAGAGCAAGTCCAGACAATAGTAAACTGGCAGCCCATTGAGCCTGAAACACGCTGGGCATGTGCATAAGTGCCCCAGATCTGATGGGCTGGAGGACTGGAGGAGGGGATCATAGTGTGACCAGATCCCGTGGAGGGCGCTCAGTGCTCATGCAAGTTCTCTCCACCCTCACTTCTTGCCCCATGTGCACACACCTACTCTTTCATGAATAAAGAAAAAAAAACCCTGCAGCCAGCCCTATAAGGCAGCACCTAAACACAGTATATAGGAGGCTGAATCCCACGTGGCTGACCATGGTTCAAATCCCAGCACTAATAGCTTGAAAAACATGGTGGGCACATATACTATATGTATGGAGATGGAATGGAGAAAGAGGAGAAAGGACTGCAGCATGACCATGCCCTGTTGGAAGTGCGTGCGCACACACACACACACACACACTCTCTCTCTCTCTCTCTCTAAGGAATACAAGCACCCTCTAACAATAAAAAAATTAAACAAAAATATCGAATAGGAAACTCTTTAGAGTAAATTAAACATAGAAGTCTTATCTTTCCTGTTAGTAATATGGAGAAGCCATACAAGATAAGATCCTTTTTACCTTTCTAGGAGTTGGGGGTAAGTAGAAAAATAAATGAACCAGACAATTTTCACAGAAGATTTAATTTGGAACCATATGAAAACAGCATACATAAACATGTATTGAAATGGTTCACGACCTTTTTCACCTCCAAAGTGAAAGCATTTAGTTAATAAGACTTTCAAAGATATTTAGAGACTACTACTACTTTTATTAACCTGCATTTTCTTTCAGAATCCTTTCTCACATGACCTTCTGCCATCAGAGAGCACTGCACTGGCACTGGGTCTTTAAGGTCGCAGGCACGGGGCCTGGCACACTATAGAAGCGCAGAAGGCATTTGGTGAATGCATGAAGCCTCTGGGAGGAAGGCGGGACATTTACTGTTATGCTCATTTTACAGCGGCCAAAACCAAGGCTCAGAGGGGTTAAACAGCTTGCCCAAGGGTACATAACTGCCAGCAAAAGGAGCAAAACAAAGAGGGCACTTTGACCCCAGACCCCTGTTCATCTATTCTTTTGACACTATCCCACCTTGCATTCAATCCAGAATTCAATGGGCTGCTGTTACATCATCACTGACCTCTGTCAACTTTCCACCACTGACTGGAGTCAGTATCCGATTAGTCCTAAATAAATTATCATGACTGTGGGTTCTTCAAGCTTTTCATCAGGTGACTACTGATAAAGGATAGAGCTGACAGACACTATGATTAGGGACTTGGAAAGTAAGGATGAGCCAAATGTCCTTTATGTGTACTATGAATACAGTGAAAGACTGCTGTTTGCACAGAGTGGCATGATGTATCTATTAGGGCTTCTCCTACCCTAAAGAGGTGGCAGTATGTTGGAAAAGGTATCTGGTGAGGAGTCATCAGTCTGGCTTTAGTCCTGCTCTGCCACTAACATGCTGTGGCACCCAGGAAAATCATCTTTCTTTTATTACCTCAAAAATGAAGGGAAAGGTTCATAAGGTTCATCACTAAGGTTATTCTTTCAACAGTAATCATCTACAATTTTTAGTAAAATTTGTAAGTCTAAGAGTGTTAGATTTTCAGGGCCAATGTTAATCTATAATTTTTAAAAGAATTATTCCATTTATCATTATTATTTTCCAGTTTGATCAGACAGAGAGAGAGGGAAAGTGAAAAAGCAAACCACCAGGTCCAGGACTTGAACCGCGATTGGCCATGTGGGAGTCCAGTGCCTTTAGCCACCACTCCACCTCCCAGCTCCAATCTATAATGTTTAATACAACTTACAAGATAAGTCTAATAGTGTTAGATTTTCAAGGCCTCTGTTCATCACTCGAACTGGTGCTGTCATTTTTCGGACCCCAGCATCAGATAAACAATTATCCTTCAGATGAAGTTGAGTTACACTAGGGAAACAAAGCCCATAAATACTTTATTAAAGAGAGTTTAAGAAAGTCTAGGTATGAGAATATGCTCTAAACATTCTACATTTAGAAATATAAAGTTATCTGCTTGCCCCTGCGACCTCACTCACTGACTAACCGTATGTAACACAGTAAAGGTCTGGTGCTATTTCAGTTATTAAGAGAGGTAATTTAGGCATTCAAGTGCCATGTAGTACCAATCTCAGATGGCAGAGGGCACTAAAGGTATACTGTCAAATAAGGTAAACAAGGACTTCCCGTCAGGAAATAAATATATGTTAACATGAAACCTACATTTTTTAATAGACTGTGAAAATCAAAAACATTCTACATGTTAGGAAAGTCTGCCAAAGAATGTCTATGAGAATTCTTTCTGCAAAGCAAACAATCCTCTAATTTTAGCCAGATTTAAAACTAGGCTTTCAGAGAAGGTTTATAAGGTATTCCCACAACCCAATCTGTCCAACTGACCTGGAATTGGTGTTTCAATATCCTCCACTGTCTTTCACATAAGAAATCCAAGCCCTAGTGCCAAATAACCTTACACAAAGATACTTTTGTATGAGACAGTATGTAGTTGTCACTGTCAAGCAGGCCCCAGATAGGAGGTTAGGCCCAAGTTTGTATGATATCCATCTGGGTGTTTACAAAACCACAAAAGAATCCATTGGGCCTCCTCTCTGATGGCCAGAGCAGAGAGTCTGAGATCAGCTGGATTGTGTGTGAATGGGATGTTCTAGGCCATTTTTTAAAATAATGGTTCTTGAAATTGATGGATTTGGCTGCCTTTAATACTTCATTTTCTTTATAATTCATAATTCACTGAGAGTTAAAATGACAAATGATAATAATTGTGGAAGATAGTATAACTTCCATCTCTTGCTAGAATAAAATGGGACTGGAAAAATAAAGGGCAAAAACACTTCAACTCAGGTAGCCTGGAGTGCTACATGCTGAAATAAAGGTTATTTAGAAAAAAAAAGAAAAATCCAAATGACAGACGTTCTAAGGGTTGTCCAATCTACACTGCTTGCCAAGTAAATGGAGGTTGAAAATGTTTTAGAAAAAAAAAGGCAAACAAACACAGTAATGGGAAGTAATTAGCATTCCTAAAGATGATCCAATGCAATAAGTAATACAAACAATTCATCTACACATAGTGGAAGCTCAGTACCTAGACAGGGCCTCATTGGTGAGATGTTCTAGAAGTTCATGCTCATCTCCAAGCTTGCAACAGGAAAGATCCAGGCAGGTAAGTTCCCGGAAAGACTTAATCTCTTCAAGTTTTTCTGAAATCACCAGATACCTGTGGCACAGCAATCAATAGCTTTTTTTTCCCCTTCTTTAAAACATTACCATTCGTGGCTATGTTCCACGATCGACATTCCATCATCCCATCCAGACGAGGTACTAATAAGCAGACCTCACTGATTACTATCTAGGCACAGGTTGAATTTTTTCATTAGTCTATGACCTGAAAGTCTTTTTTTTTAATTTGCTATAAGGCACATATGCTCGTGGGAGGTGGAGGGGACAGAGAGAGAAAGCATTCCCCCCAGCTCCCAGAGGGGATGATCATGCTGCAATACCTTCTCTTCCATTCTCCTCTCAGGATGTTGAGCATGCACACACACACATGCATGTTTTCCAAGTCACTGGGTCCAGAACAGAGCACAAGTACCCAGCTATGTAGGATCCAGTCACCTTGACCACCACACCACCTGGCTGACCAGTTAGGACTTGAACATCTTTTAACACAATGGTGGAATAAGAATTCTAAATAAATAAAGTATACAAGCAGAGGCAAAGCACAAGAGAAAACATTTGCTTTACTTTGCAACAGACAGACCCTGGTGTTGGTGCTAGAATTCTATCTAAAAATTTTTCAACTTCAGGGTATTCAAAATTGTAGTCACTCATCCTTTCAAAGTTGCTTTTTATCCACTGCTCAGTATTTAGTGATATGAATATTGAAACAGGCCAATGACTTAGAGCCTAATCTGCATATCCCCAAGCACATACTAACATACTCTTTTCTACTCAAACACAAGTTTGAGAACCTGTCCATTCCACTGTACCTCAGTCATTCTGCCAGCTTTACTCCAGGCCTGCCACATGGCTATACTCTAATCTGGATGGTTAAAAAAACACAAGGGACCAGCAGGTGGTGTGGTGGTTAAGGTGCTGGACACTCCTACATGGCCGACTGCGGGTCAAGTGCTGGACCTGGTGGCTTGCTTTCTCACTTTCTCTGTCTCTCTCTGGTCAAATTAAGATAAATGAATGAATAAATTAAAAATTTTTTTAAAAAAAAGAAAGAAAGAAAACACAAACAGGCCAGTGGGTGATGTGGTAGTTAGGTGGCTGGATCCCACATGGCCAACTGCATGGTTTGAGTCCTGGGCCAACAGCTTGAAAGACATACCAGACATTGTGTGTATGCTGAGAACTATGGAGAAGGGACTGCCCTGGGGGACAAGGGGGTGGGGGGAGGTGCTTTCTCATACCACCATGTCCCCTCTTCTAGTGAGTGTACATGCCCTACAGCAAACTAAAAAAACAAAAACAAAAATAAAAAACAAATAAAACACATGACCAACTTAATAACATTGGAGCACCTTGCCAAATTATTATCAGGAAGCATCAGGGAGGCCTCATCAAAACGACATTCCACAGCTCAGACCTTGGCCTTCACCCTGCTTTCTAACTGTTCTTTTGCAGATAAGGTCAGTGAGGAAAAATGAAAGGGATTAGGTGTGACAAGAAATGGAGGAGAGGATTCTAAGAGACTAAGGAAACTGACTTTTGGCAAGCACATGATTTTTTTATCCATATTCCTCCTGGATGCCTAGAACTTTCCAAGATGGTATGTTAGGAACAGTGAGGTTACACTTCGTTGTTCTCTTCTGCCAGCAGATCATAATTACCAAAAACAGGATGAAATAATCAGAAGGTAAAAGGAGAGTTACATCTCTTTCCTTCCTACTTCAAACCAAAATAAGATATACTCAAAGAGATCACTGGCCTGACTGCAAGGTCCAGATGGCTTGAGGCACTGGTACTCCCTTTAAACTGCAAAACCTAAGCTGCCAGAGACAGAGCTCAGCTGGGGACACAAATGAGCTTTATTTACTCAGATGTCTTTTAATTGCACTGTAAATAAAGCTGCTGTTTTCCATCTTCCAATCACAGAGCTGAAGTGTGTTAATGGGGATTTGGGGGATTACTGGCAGTCAGAGAAAGGAAAACACACATCCTTTGATCAATTAAACCAAAAGATTCTTAGTAATTCTGAAACAAATGTTATCTGCAAAGGACATAACACCGTGTAATGTGATTAAGAAACATTGCAAAACTCATGGCTGAGGAACCAACACGCAGGGCCAGTCATTATACTAAATGCTAATCTAGAAAATAATCAACGCTCTAGGTTGTTGCTTGCAACTCGTCTTCCAATTTGCCCTGACAGGGTTCATAATCGTATAGACGTGCAGCAATAAAAGAGAACAGACATACTTTAGTGTCAGACAGACCTGAGTTTAGATTCTAACAGCCCTAACTACTTGTATGATTGTGAAAAAGTTAGTGAATCTTTGAGTCTCAATTTCTCCAGCCTCAAAATGGGGTGAATGATTACTTCTTTTCATGAGTAAGAAAAATAGAAACAATATTTTCGAAAAGTACGTGGTTTTCTATCGACCCTCCTTAAATGGTAACTACTATTACTTCAGTAACACAGGGAAAACTTAACAACAGACTTGCCTCCCTGTGACCAGTAGGTTTAAAAATCACTGGGGTTTCAACACGGAGAGTGTTTCTGGAGGGCTGAAATCTAGTTGCACAGATGCCGGCTTCTCGTTTTGGCAGGAGTTTGGTGACCTAACCCCAAGACAGTGAGCACCAGTATCTACTTACCCAATTATCTTATTTTCAATTATTTTTTTCAGGCTCATTCCATTTGACTTGAGCCCTTTTTAATGCTGGCTGGTAAAACCTCTGCTGCTGCAGCTTCAACTTTAACTACATTTGAAGGATAATCTTGCAGGGTATAATATAATGTAACATTCATAGTTGAAATAAATAATTTTATGAAAATCATGAACCTTACTTCTAGACCTAAATTAAAAAAAATAAATTACTTGTGGATTGGTTTTATCCTAGTCTCTAAATTCCCTAAGGACAGATGGTTCTTACTCTGCTCTTCTGTTAAAAAAAAAGGGGGGGGGAAGTAACCCCAAACCTCCTGTTAATAATTCCTTTGAGAATTCAAAAGAAGAATGATTTTTGATCACAACTGAAAGTATTATTTATATCTGAATAAGACAGTAAAGTATTGAACTACTTTGATAAAATGTGAGCCAAAAGATTATGGTAAAAATGTTTCTTATATTTTCTAATTATAAATGTAATAATACAGGCTCATTAGAGAAAAATATGGAAAAATATAAAGAAAATAAAACCAATTTCAATCTCACCATCTAGACTACATATTGATGGGTTTCCTTTTTTTCGCATGTTAGTGATGATACATATATATACATATACACACACACACACACACACATATATATTTAAAATCTGGATCATACAGTATCATGTCATTCTTTTTTTATTATATAATGAACATTTTACCACACCATTTAAAATTATTTTAGACTACTAATAGTCATATAATATTTTGACACATTAATGTACCATAATTTGCTCTATTGTTGGACATTCAGTTTTCAGATTTTTTTAAAAGAAATTTTTGCTATAGGGCATGTGCACTTGCCAGAGAGACAGAAAGTGAAAAATCACCCCCTGGGGGGATGGCCACACTGCAATCCCTTCTACTCTATTCACCTATCAGGATTTTGGGCATGCACACATACATGTCAGGCATGAGTTTTAAGTCTCCAGGTCTGGGACTCAAACCGTGGTCCAACGACATGTGGGAGTCCAGTGACATAATCATTACACCATCTGCTGGCCCCAAGTTTTCAGATTTTTACTAGTACAAACAGTACTACAATTATGTTAAATATTTGTTTCTTTCTCTAGTTATTAGAAATTAGAATGGATTCTTTTTTGTAAAGTTTGCTTTCTACAAGTTTATTTCTTCATGAGGTAAAGAGACATACAGAGAGCACACACACACAGACAGGCACCACCCCCATCTTAGCTGGCCGAGATCATGGCGCATGCATACAGCATGCTCATGGAGGACCTGAGGTGAAAACACAAGACCTTTCCCAGGTGGGTCCAACTGTATTAATGCTGTGCCAGTCTGGCTCCTAGAACAGATTCTTAGTAAATGGGATTAATAAGTCAAACGACTGCTATGGATGTTTGGGGGGCTTGCTCTTTCATTTAAAGTCCTTTCTTTCCTTCCTTTCTTATTAGGGAGAAAGACAGTCACTCCTGACAGGGTCTCACCACTCCATGATTCTCCTCACCCCAGCCAGTCCTACAACCAGCCAGGATCATGAGCACACCCAGGTGGGCCCAGAACCAAATCTGGGTCCTCTCACATGGCTTCTAACACTGCAAGGAGATAGCCTACTGCCTATACCACGATGGCTGAGCCAAAGCTCTTGAAAAGACTAGGCAAAGGCTCTTAATACATATTGCAAACTGCTTTTCAGAAAAGCTACACTAATTTATGTTTTCACTGAACGTGAATAAAATTGCTATTCTCATCCAAATCTGACCAATCTGACTACTGGAAGAGTATGTGACACTTGCAAATAGGTAAGTAGTTTTAGGACCAGCAGTTAGTGTAATGGCTATGTCGCTAGACTCCCATGTAGTCGACTGTGGTTCGAGTCCTGGACCCGGTGGCTTTAACTCACACTGGGCGCGTGTGCATGTGTGCCCAAGATCCCAAGAGGAGAACGGAGGAGAAGGGATTGCAGTGTGGTCATCCCCCCGGGGGATGATTTCTCGCTCTCTGTCTCTCTGTCTCTCTGTCTTTCCAGTGAGTGCACATGCCCTATAGCAAAGACCTCTTTAAAAAAAAAAAAAAAAAAAGGTAAGTAGCTTTTAATAGCATGGGAAATACTCAAGTTATATGGGTATGCAGGGGGAAAAACAGAATACAAGAATATATTTGAATACAAAACATGTATTTTATTTATATAAATATATTTCATTTATATACTTACGTATGTTTTATTTAAAGGTAATACAAACACATATTCAAATACATATATTTACAAATATATATATTTAAAAAATATATATACGGTATATATATATTTACAAATACATATATTTGAATATATATATTTAGCATGGTGAGATTATAAAAAAATTTTAATATTGCAGTTTTATATAGTTCTCAAATAGTATTACATTTATAAAGTAATTTTAAAACAAAGAATATATCAAAATTCTTTTTCACTATTCTAACTTTCTACAATAAACATAAACAAAAAATGAGTAAAATGTTATTTTAAATGTATAAGTTACAATGAAATAATGGCGGAATTTTTCATACAGGCAAGGAAATTTCTTTTTAAAGGAGTTTTTTTGCTATAGGACACGTGCGCTCACTGGAGCCAGAGAGACAGAAAGAGAGAAATCACTCTCCTCAGGGGGGTGGCCATGCTGCAATCATGTCTCCTCTATTCTCCTCTTGGGATTTTGGGCATGCACGCACACGTGCCAGACGAGTTTTGAGCCTCCGGATTCAGGACTCGAACTGTAGTCAGTCATGTGGGAGTCCAGCAACATAACCATTACGCTACCTGCTGGTCCCAGGGCAAGGTAATTTTTTCCCTTCCCACTAATAGCAGCCTTAAGCCCAGCCATGACTGTAGTATAGAGACGGAGCTATCATGAGGTACCTGGCTCAGTTAATGAGTTTGAGGTTCTACTCTTTTCTGCATGTTTTTTTCTTTTCCTTTTTTAGTATAGTATTTGACCTTGGGTGAAATAATTCTGCAAGCTGATTAAATAAAGACTACTTTTTTAAGCACATGAGCTTAGCTTATGTTTTCTGCTATGACTTTCTCTTATGATATACTTTTTGTTTAGTGTCATTTTAATGATCACATTGGTTCCCCATCTTAATAATAGGCTGCCTTTCTGAGGTTGGCAGGTGGCATGGTGGTTGAGAGCGCTGGAGTCCCATATGGCCGACCACGGTTCAAGTCTAGGACCTGGTGGCTTGCTTTCTCACTTTCCCTCCCTCTCTTTCTCACTCTTTCTCTGGTCAAATTTAAATAAATAAATAAAGTTAAATAAAAGAATTCTTAAAATTAAAAAAAGTTGCAAAAGCACTTTTCAGTAAAAGGGGCTGGAGTAATTTTAATAGTAGGCTGCCTTTCAGTTTCTAATCACAAAAATGGTTATACAGTGACACACTATAAAGCTATTTTTAAAAACCTACAAGCCAGGCCAGCTCAGTTAGGCAGCAGCAATACACTGTTCAAGCAATGCTGGATCCACATGGAAGACTGTGGGTTCGATTCTCCATTTATCTGTAAAGCCTAGGAGTAAGCACCCATGATCCTGACTGGCGGGGAAGACTTATGGAGGAGGTCAAGGCCTGAGAACCTGTTAAGGGTGTCTGTGTGTCTTTCTCAATGAAAAATAAATAAAACTTAAAAAATATTTTAAATTAAGAAATAAAAATCTGTAAGTAAATGTTAAATGATTTTTCAAATTATTTACAGAAAGCAAAAGCAAAGTATATGGCAGTGGATGCAATGTGATCTAATTTAAGTAGCAGGAAAGAGAGCTATATAAACATGTGTATGTACAGAATTTCTCTGGAATGATATATTATAAACGAAATAACAGTAGTTGGTCTCTGGAGAGGAAACAGGAGATGAGACAGGAGGGAGGCTTATCTTTCACTTTCATACCCTTTTGTGTTTGTGGCTGAACTGCTTGCCGTATACATTTTTGTAATTTCTTTTAGTGTTTTAAACATAAATAGATGTTTGAAAGTGTTTTTACATGATGTTGGAATAAACATTTTAAATAAGGGCCAGCAGAGAGTGTGGAAGTTAAGGTGGCTGGATCCTATAGGGCCAACTGCACAGTTCAAATTCAAGATTGGTAGCTTGAAAAAAACACCTGGAACACGTATGTATGTGTGCCCAAAAGCCCAAGTGAGAATGGAGAAGGGATTGAGGCATGGCCATTTCCCCCAAGAGGGTAATTTCTCACTTTCCTTCTCTTTGTCTCTGGTGAGCACACACGCTCTACAGCAAAAAAAGTAAAGCAGAGAAAATCCCCCAAATTTAAAATAAGTAAAAGTATATGAGCAAAAGAGAAAACATGTGCTTTGTTAAAAGATAGACCTTAGTGTTGAGACTTATTTTAGGATATTTGAAATTTTAACCACTCATTCTTTTTTTTTCTTCAGATTTGCAGCAATTTATTAAATTTGAATGCTTCATTTTCTATCCTATGAACATCCATCCTGTACCACCCTGGTACTAATCTTCACATCCCCAAAAGCATACCAAAAGGTATCAGAAAATCACATCTTTTGCCTTTTCTACTTTCTTATATTAAAAAAAGCTGATAGATGGGACCAGAAGTTGGCGTAATGGCTATGTTGCTGGACTCCCATGTAGTCGACCACGGTTTGAGTCCCAGACCTGGAGGCTTAAACTCTTACCAGGCGTGTGTGCTTGTGTGCCCAAGATCCCAGGAGCAGAATGGAAGAGAAGGTATTGCAGCGTGGCCATCCCCTAGGAGGTGATTTCTCGCTTTCTGTCTCTCTGGTGCAGGCACACGCCCTATAGGCCCCCCCAAAAAAAAGCTGGTAGAAAAATATTTTTTACCTAATGAAGGAGCTGTGGCAATCAATTAATCCTTCTGAAATGTTTTCAAAGTAAAGCTAGATGTTGCCTGGTTGGTGAGGGGGTTAGAAGACAGTGATTTTTCTCAAAATGGCCTGCCTCAGTGTTATCTGATAGGAAAGGTCCCCAAACGCACTAAGCCCCAGAGTTTGACAGAATTAACACATCAATAAAATACAAAATATCCTAATCAGAGCACCTACCTGTTTCGCAAACATAAGGAGCAAAGCACCAGACTTCCATAGGCCTCAGTGAATTTCTGTAAAGCCCTCAGGCCTGCACCTGGCTCTGTGAATTTCTGTCTGGCTTCAGCAGCAGAGAACAGCTTTTCAGCAATCTGCTCAGGAAAGCCAATAAGGGAATCAATGTGATCAACGTTGTCAGAGATGAAGCCCAGGACAAGGCTGAAGAGAGATTTGGCAGAGTACCGAAGATTCCCCTCCCGGGTGTATGTGAAGATGAAATGATCAGTTTTCTCCTTCTGTGCAGTATCATCTTCCCTGTTCATGCAGAGCTCCACAGAAAAGCCTTTGGGAAACAGTCTGAAAGGTCTTGGCTTCTGCAGGCTACTCCGGACACCATCCAGAGCCAGATTGACCATGTGCAGCTGCCCATTTTCTCGCACATAGATGGGCCCTGGGTCCAGGTGGTTTTCTGAGTTGAGGTAGTAAGACATTGCCTTGGTTGTGACTATAAAAGAAGGTACAGGGAAGCAAACCAATTAAAATGCCATTTGTAATATGTAACTTCACCTTGCTATGCCCAAAGCTTTATGAGCCTACCAAGCAGGCCCTGTGGCTGGGTTGGGGACAGCAAAGATCACCAGTTGCCTGGGAAGTTTGGCACCTGAGGTTGTCTCTGCTGCCTCTACCTGGAATGCCCCTAGTTCTTTAACAATCCCCTAACTCATCTTTCAAAACCCAGGTCAAAATTTATTTTTAAAATCCACCTTAAAAAGTTGTTACAGATGCCGGCAAAGATTAATCTGTAAAAAAACTCATGGCATCACAATTTATATTATCCAAGCTATTGGAAATAACCTAAATGTCCAACAACTGAAGTGTTCTTAAGTAAATTATGATACACTCATACCACAAAATGTTATGAAGTCATTAAAATTATAGAATTTTGGGACCAGCAGATGGTGTGATGGTTATGTCACTGGACTCCCACATGGCTGACCACAGTTCGAGTCCTGGACCTGGTGTCTTGAAACTCACACTGGGCCTGAGTGTGTGTGTGTCCAGAATTCAGAGAGGAGAATGGAGAAGGGATTGTGGCATGCCATCCTCCCTGGGGGGTGATTTCTTATTTTTCCTCTGACCATCTCTCTCAGGTTCTTTCTGGTGATTGCACACACACTATGGCAAAAACCTAAAAAACAAAAACTAAAACACCCTAATAGAATCTTAATAGATCTGTTGCTTCCAAGAGCTAAAATAACTTTCAGTTAGTCTTGTGATGGAGATCTTTATCTGGAGATCCAAACAGTTCTGTCGCTTGTGGTCCATTTGAGGTTTAGTAAACAGATAAATTTTAGTTCCACAAATACCTGCTCAGGAAATATAATATGCCAGAGAATTGTCTTGGGGAATATGGGTGAATTAAATACAGCCCCTCCTCTCAAGAAGCTCAAAGCAGCCGAAGGTCCAAAAACAAATCAGCAGCAGAACAGCCAAGTGCAACAAAGAAGTGTGTGGAAGGTTAACAAGGGAGTTACTGCTAATCATTTTTTGGTACATAAACAAGTTTTTTATTTAAAAAAAGTTCTGGGGGGAACCTGCAGATAGCATAATGGTTACATTGCTGGACTCTCACATAGTCGACCACAGTTCAAGACCCAGCAATTTAAACCTCACACTTGGGCACGTGTGTGCACGTGCCAAGAATCCCAAAAGGAGAATGGAAGAGAAGTGATTGTGGTGTGGTGATTCCCCTGGAGGGTGATTTCTTGCTTCTCTCTCTCTGGTGAGTGCACATATGCTATAGCAAAAATCTCTCCAAAAATTACAGAATTTTTTTTTTTGGGGGGGGGGAAGATTTTTGCTATAGGCAAGAGGTGAAATTTAACATAATATAGCCTGATAGTATCCGGTAAAAGACTGATATTCTTCCTAAAAGGCACTGATTGCCTTTTAGAGTGAATTAACTCAGCTTATTCTGCATCAATGCAGGACCACAATTAGGCCCTGAAGCCACTTACAAGTGTCAGCAAACAATTAAGTTAGTGATCAAAAATGCTGAGTCTCTGGAGATCAAACAATGATCCTGTTTGTGGGAATCAGTTCCATCCATGTTTCTCCAGAGGATAATCATGTGTGTAAATGCACATCAGAAAAGAGGGCCCTGCCTAGCCCTAGAGCCTCACCCCTTTCCTGTTCCTCTCCTTAGCTTCTCTCTCGGGCCATGCCATCTACTGGGTAAACTGGCCTTGCTTTCATTCCTACCAGCCTTTGCCCACTTTACTCCCTTTGACTAGAACATCCTTCTCTGCCTTCCAGTCTGGCTGACTCCTGCTTATTATTAACATTCGGTCAACCATCACCCCTCTCGTGGGAAACCTTCCCTAACTCCTACACCACTGCATGCCTGTTTGGTTTCCCCAGAGCACCAGTGTCTCCTTCTGCACAGTACTTAGCACCATGCACTATGTTTGTTCACTTGTTAATGTGCCCAGAGCTGTGATCTCTTTGAACACAGGGTATTTATTTGATTAATTTCTCTGTCTCAGCCTGACATAGTGCCTAGTACTGAGTAAGCTCTCAACAGATATTTCCTGAACTGAATGGGAGAAAGGGTGAGATCTCAAAGGGACAGACTTAGTGCTTTGAGTTGCAGGGCCTGCTGATACCGTTGCTAGGAGCCAGCTCCTCTTCCAATGGCAACAGCTGCAGGCTCCTCCCCCACTTGCCAGACCCTTCTGCAGGTGGTAGAAGCAAAGCAGATGATAGGAGAATACTGCTACTGGTACGAACAAGAAAAGACAAAAATAGAAACAAATAGAACTAAACTAAACTAAAACAACAACAAAACATTGGTCACAGTCCAGCCTTGTAACTCATACTCTCTTCACTCCAGGGTTCAGTGCCTACTGCAAGGAGATGCTTCCCTTACTCAAAGCTTTTTTCCAGCAGGAGTATGAGTCTGGCCTCGTCAACCACACAGACCCTGATCTTAATGAGGACAAAACGCAGATCACCTTTGGTTTTTATCCCAGACTGGACACCCAGGGTCTTATTCTATCTGTTGATTAGAAAGTAGACATCAGGCATGGCCCTAAGAAAGTATGACTTTTTTAGATTTTTGCCATAGGGTGCATGCACTCACCAGAGAGAGACAGAGAGGGAGTGAGAAGTCACCTGAGGGGGGAGGGTGGCCATGCACCAATCCTTTGCCACTCTTCTCCTGTGATATTTTGGGCATGCACACACATGCATCTGGTGTGATTTTCAAGCTGCTGGGTCTTGAATCACCCAGTCAGCCATATGAGATCCAGCATCTTAACCACCACACTACCTGCTGGCCCAGGAATAACCTAATTTTAACAGAAGAAAAGCAAATTCTATTGGGCTGGCCCCATAGCTCAATGGTTAAGTGCTGTACACTGGGGGCTGGGTGCCACCTAGTTGACCGCAGTTTGAATCCTGGCCTTAGTGGCTTGGAAAACACTCCAGGCATGTGTATGTGCACATGTCCAAGATCTTAATGGGAAGGAAAAGTGGAAGAAAAAGGATTGTGGTATGACCATGTCCCACTAGGGGTGCTTTTGCTCTCTGTTTCTCTTGGCAAATGCCATGTACCCTCTGGCAAAAAAGAAAAGAAAGAAAAAAAAGAAAGGCAAAGTCTGTGATAGGGACCAGATTATAATAGATCAGCACACTGTGAAGTCCTTGAGCAATGATACAGGGTCTGCCCATCTATATTACTCCCAACCCTCACTGCCAACATGCCTTCTATAAACTCTGGAGCATGGACAAACAAGTGGATGATAGATGAATGACCACTTCAGATGAAAATCACATAAGTCTGATTCCATCCAGCAGAGGGCACAAGCAGCTTAGAACCAGAGTATGGACACTAACCCAGGCTGCCCCAAATCCTGGAAGCTTTGGTTTCCAGGGATCATTTTCCAAAAATGGCACAATTCTGGCTCTATTTAGCCTTCAGATTACTCATCAAAGGGCATTTACCTTTCTAAATGATGAAAAAATTCCATTATTTCTTGAAGAGTAAACCCACATCATTTGTCCAGAAGCCCAAGGCCTCTTGTTCATCAACTATGGTATTAGAGGAACTAAACCTTGGTTTAGGGAATCCTGGTGACTTTTGATTTCTACTACTAAATTTGTGCATCCTACAATCTCCAGACAAGAAGCTTTCTTAGAGATTTTGAGGTACTATAAAATGATCTAAGAATTAAATTAATGTTCATCCCTTCAAAGTTAAGAACCATAAAGGCATGAGAATTCTGCCCAAAGCATCTGTATCTGGTTTTGCTTGTCCCTGGCTGTTGAACAAGGTGGACTACAGAAGAAGGGACCTGTTCTATAGCTCATACAAATTGGAAAACTAATTGAGTATCTGTAAGAATAATAGTAAGAATCCAGAAGGGATCTGTAGTAGCTATGTTATATATTAAATCGAAAAATAAGTAGGGTATGCCAGTAGATCTCCCAGCTCACCACAGAGGCAGTTTTGTAACCCATCCAACATCATAGAAAAACATTACAATACTGCATGTTCTAGTATTTGATCAATGAATGGTGAGCCAAAATTACCACAAAGCATATCCTTTCATCAAATGAATGAAATGTGGCCTTACTACATTAAAAAGTCAGTTCTCTACAGCTTCTTTGAGTAAAAGGCAAGATGAAATTAATTGATAACTAAACATGACAGCTTTTTAGACCTTGAAGCCAGTTTGTCAAGTGAAAGCATAAATATCGTAATCAGGTAACAGTGTTAAGACTGTGAGCTAAGTTCATGGCTATGGAATTTGAAAGAAAAGGAGGAATACACGTAAGTAAGTCAATCTCAGAACAATACGTTACAGTAATGACTGTGAGATGATACTGGAAGTGACAGCTACCATTTATCAGGTACCCACTGGTGCCAAGCTCTATGCCAGGTACTATAGAAAATGATCTCAAACAATCCTCAACAATTCTATGAGGTCAGTATCCCTACTTAATAGACAAAGAGGCTGATAGAAATAGATTAACTCACTTAAGAACAGAGCTAGTAAGGGGCAGAATTTCAATCCCAGGACTGTATTACTCCAAGGCTCAAGCTCTTTCCACTGTATGATGCTCTCTCTCAAGAATAAAAATATGACATCAGCCTTAAGGATAAAAAAAAAGTGTTAAAAGTTAATCTCATCCACCTGTTGGATCTCTCTACTACTGACTCAAGCTGGGGGTAGCAGGGAGGACAGTGAGGCGGTGAAAAAACAGTGGATATATGAAAAAAAGTTGGTGGGAACAGAGCCAGGATGGAGTTACGAGGTCTCCCTTCTTCCCTCTGCCAGGGTAGAAATTAGCCACATCCACATACCCGGAAAACATCTGTCAACTCATGGCTTCCATCCCAAGGCTGTAGACACCTCTTCTTATTTGAAAAGGCAGTATTCTTGGGAACATTTCTAACATAAAAACCAGGACAGAAACTATCCTAAACCACCAGTAACCAACCAGCAAACCAACCAGCAAACCACCCTCATTGTTGTGTGTGACCGCCATTATTCAATGTTCAACTCTCCTCCCTACTTTTCTCCTATAACTAGTTTTTCCCTACCTGCCCTCTCTCCCATACCCCTTCCTCTCCCAAGCGCCAAAGGCTCACATCACACCCAGCTCCCTGCTTTTCCACCAAGAACATGCCAACCTCTCCTACGTACTCTTACCAACACTGGAGTCCCACACAAAAATCCAGTCCCTACACCAAAATGCCTACCCCTTCCTTCGCCACTGAGAGCTCCCCTGCCCCAGCTTCTCGAACCTCACACGCTTCCAATCCTGCCGCGCCTCTTCGGAAAAGTGGCTACCGGTCCCCCAGACCCAATCCACGTCCACATGCCTCTTTCCTTCCCCACATCATCCCACCCTCTTCTCTCCTTCTTCTCCACTTGTTCTTCCTTTCCTCCCCCTCTCTGGGCTTCCCTCTCCTAGGACGTCGACCTCTCCATCCTTTTCTGCCTCAACTTTCAAAACCCTCGTCCTTCACGCCTCCCCATCCCCAACTTCTTTCTTCCCGGCCCCCAAGACCCCACCCCTTCTCCCATTCCAATCCTGGCTCCTTCCCTCCTTGCAACCCTCAAATCCCACTCCTTTTCCACCTTCCCCAGGCCAGCAATTCTTGGTCCCTCTCTCGATTCCACACTCGCCCCTCCCCAGCCCACCTAAACTAATCTTGCTCTCTCACTCATCCCGGCCTCGAACACCACTTATCACACGCCCCCCAGTCTACCCTAGCACCCCGACCCCACCCCTAAGCCCATCTCCCACACCCCTATGTCCTCATCCCCCAACCCACCCTCCATCCCG